AATCTGCATGCATAAATGTTGTGTACATTTCTATCTGTATATTACATCTCACATATCAAACTGTTAAACTTTTTAAAGATTAACTGAATGGTAAAACATGGCACTCTTTCTCCCAATTCAATACGGACTGGACCCATCAAGCAGAACACAGCAGCCCCACTAAGATGTTTTTGCCTACCTGGTGGTGGAGTACTGTCATTTCTAAGAAAGGAACAAGAAGAAAAAAAAGAACGTCTAAAATCCTCTAAAAATGTGCTTCTGTCCCCACCTGCTCAGAGGGTAGACAGAGGGGCACAAGCAGAAGGAAAGCAAGGTTCTCCCATTCCTAGAATGTTGGAATGGACTCAAGATGGGAGACTGTGGCTATAAGTGTATGACTCAGTTTCCCCTGTCTATTCCCCGCTGTGGCCCTGCCTGTTGTTTCTTATGTGCTTATCTCATAGAGATAGGCTTTTTTGGAGAACCCTTTCTTCCCCCTGCCAAGGGAAGAAGGCTGCTTCAGGGTGAAGGATAGGGTAAGGGGGCTTGAATTCAGCTGGTCTCTCCTCTGCTCCTTTGTAAGCCCTTCCTTCCTCATTGTTGTTCCTCACTGTCTCCAGTGGCCTCACAAGAACAATCCTTTCTCCTGAGGGCCTTAGAAGGACATGGGTCAGAGGCTAACTGAGGGAAAACCAAGAGAGCAAGAGTCAAGGTCCGGATCTCTGTCTTCAAGAGAAAGTCTGAGATCCTCAGCCTGGCATTCAGGGCCTGGCCCGTGCCAGAGTAACATCCTTCACCCGGGCCACAGCAAATTGCTTTCACCGTGCTCCAAGCGCATCTTGCCTTCTGGGACCCCCAAACTTTTGCACAGGACGTTCCACTCACCTAGGCCACCACTTTTTTTTTTATTTAATTAAGATGTGCATGGTACTAATTATATGTCTTGGCACTATTATAAACACTTTACAAATATTACCTCATCTGTCCTCACAACCCTATACTGTAAGCACTATTATGACTCCATTTAACAGATAAGGAACTTGAGGTGCAAGGAGGTTGAGGGGCATGGATTCAAACCCAAGCAGCCTGGAGCCAGAGTAAATGCTCTTAGGCACTACACTATATATTGCCTCTTAAACTTCTTCCAACTCACTTTCACTTCTTCCACACTCATCTTGGGTATCAACACCTCTCCCCACACCGCCCCTGACATCCTTGAGCGCCCACAGCTCCCAGTTCCCACCTTTATCTCCCATTAGGATGAAACAATCTGACTGCTTATTTTACTCCTTCATTTTAAAAAACTTTCTTGATTGAAGTATAACACACATAAAGAAAAGTACAGGGAGGCATAAATGCACAGCTCTCAATGAACTGTTACTAAGTAACCACCCATGTAATCAGCATGGAAATCAAGAAACACAACGTTCCTAGCACTCCAGAAGTCTCCTTAGGCCTCCTACTCAGCCCTTAAAGGCAATCACGAATCTGACTTCTATCACCATAGATTAGTTTCACCTGTTTCAGAACTTTACATGCACTCATACAGTAGGTGCTCTTTTGTGTGTGGTTTATTTTGCTCAGCTTAATGTTTGTAGAATTCATCCATATTATATGTATGTGTGGGGCATTTCTCCTCATCCATGTGTAGTATTCCATTGTGTGAATATACCACAATGTATTTCTCATATTTCTGTTGTTGGCATTTGAGTCGTTTCCAGTTTGGACTATTACAAATAGTGCTTTTATGAGCATTATTGCATATGTCTTTGGTAAACATATATAAGCATTTCTGTTGGGCATATACCTAGAAGGATTGCTGGGTTATGGGGTGTGCATATGGTCACCTTTACTTGATATTGCTAAGCAGTTTCTGAAGTGATTATATCATTTTATACTCTCATCAACATTTTATGAGAATTTCAGTCCACTCCACGTTCTCAGCAACATTCAGTACTGTCTTTTTCTTTTTAGTCATTTTAGTGTGTTGATTTATTTCATGTTTTCTTAACTAATGAAGTTGTATGTTCATATCTTCCTTTCTAATCCTTATGTCTTTTATTTTTCTTGCTTTAGTGCACTAGCCAGGACTTCATACAATTTGAATAAAAGTAGTTATTGTGGGCCTCCCTACAGAAAGCATTCAACATCTCTCATCAGGTATGATATTTGCTATAGGCTTTTTTGTAGATAACATGTATTAGATTAAGGAATTTCCCTTATATGCTTAGTAAACTTTGTCATGATGCTTTTTTGCATATACTGAAGTGATCATACTATTTTTCTTCAATTTCCTGGAAGAATTTGTACAAAATTAGAAAATTAGTGAGTTTCTTTAAGAATCTTGTAGAATTCACCATTGGCAGTCTCCGAATCTGGAGGACTATGGAAAGCTTTTTAATTATAAATTCAATTATTGGGGCACCTGTGTGGTTCAGTCGTTAAGTGTCTGCCTTCGGCTCAGGTCATGGTCCCAGGGTCCTGGGATTGAGCCCCGCCTCGGGGTCCCTGCTCTGCAGAGAGCCTGCTTCTCCCTCTCCCACTCCCCCTGCTTGTGTTCCCTCTTTCACTGTGCCTCTTTCTGTCAAATAAATAAATAAAATCTTTAAAAAATAAAATAAATTCAATTATTTAATAGTTATAGGATTATTTATATTTAAATTGTTTTCTTGTGTGAGTTTTAGTGTATTGTATTTTTCCCGGAATTTTCCCACTTAGCAAAATTTTCAAATTTGCTCATATAAAGTTCTTCATAATACTGTCTTATATTTTAATGTATCCATGACCCATATTGTACTTCCTCTTTTTGTTCCTGTTACCAGTTATGTGCCTTCTATACACTTTTTTTCTGGATCAGTTTTAGTGGTTTATCATTTTTCTAGTTTTTTAAAAGAACCAACTTTTAGGGGCGCCTGGGTGGCTCAGTCATTAAGCGTCTGCCTTCAGCTCGGGTCATGATCCCGGGGTCCTGGGATTGAGCCCCGCATCGCCCCGCATCGGGCTTCCTGCTCAGTGGGGAGCCTGCTTCTCCCTCTCCCTCTGCCTGCCGCTTCCCCTGCTCATGCTCTCTCTCTCTCTCTCTCTCTGTCAAATAAATAAAATCTTAAAAAAAAGAGCCAACTTTTAGCTTTGTTGATCCCCTCTGTAAATAGTTCTTCTATTTTGTCGATTTCTTCTCTCTTTTTTTTTAAGATTTTATTTATTTGTCAGAGAGAGAGAGAGAGAGGATAAACAGGGGGAGCAGCAGGCAGAGGGAGAAACAGGTTCCCCACTAAGCCAGGATCCTGACCACGCAGGACTCCATCCTAGGACCCTGGGACCATGACCAGAGCCGAAGGCAGACACCTAACCAACTGAGCTGCCCAGGCTTCCCATGTCGATTTCTACTCTTACCTGTTATTTCTCTCCTTCTACTTTCTTTAAGTTTAATTTGCTTTTTCTAACTTTTTGAGATGGATTTGCCACCTTTAGAAAAATAATACAAAATTTAAGGCTATACATTTCTAAGCATGGCCTTAGCAGCACCCCACAGGATTTCAAATATAATATTGTCATTATCAGTCAGTTCAAAATATTTGCTAACTTCCACTGTGAGTTTATCTTTGACTCATGGGTTTTTCTCCCTCTCCAAAGCATGGTGTCCAAACTTCCGTAGGCATAAAAATAACCACCTGAGGGCCTTGTCAAAGTACAGGCTTTGGAGCCTCATCTCAAACCTCCTAGATTGGTATTTCTGGGAAGTAGGTCTGGGGATCCACATTTCACAAGCTCTGCAGGGGATTCGGATGCAGGTGGGCTGCAGGACCACAGATTGGTAGCACGGCAAGAGTTTCCTAAGGGCAGAGAGCAAGTCTGATTCACCTGTATCTCCAGTGCCCACCACTGGGCTTAGCAAGAAGCCGTGTTTAAGAGTGAGCCAATGGGTGAGAGAAGGAAACAAAAAAAAAAAAAAAGAAAAGAAAATTGTTTCTATGGAGAGACTTGGAGTTTTCGAATGCTATGAATTAGCGAACCACTATGGCATCATTTGGTCCCAATTTAATACATTCAGGACAGAAATAATTTTTTCCCTTGTCTTCAAATCTCTGCCTACTAAGCTTTCTCCTCACCTGTCCCATTCCACTGTCCTGGAACATGGCCTTAGGTATGTGCCTGTCTACTGGCACAGAGAAAGTAGGGGTGGCCCGGGAGGTGTCCTGAGAGAGGCTGTTCAGGGCTGAGCAGCGTTCCCTGCCCCGCTCCTGCCACCAGCCCACAGGCCTTGGTGGGAAAATGCCCGCAGAACCCATTCTAAAAGAGGTAATCTATCCTACCTCGCGGAGCTCTAAGCATCCCTCCCATCCCAAAGCTTTTGAGAAACTTCCACAGGACCTTTCTGCCTCGACCCGACCCGGGCCCCCTATCCTTGCCTCCTCCGCACTTGTAAGCCCAGGTGAGTTGCTCTCTCAGCAGCCCCTTGGCCACCTCTCCCCGCCTCCACGCGTGCCTCCCTCAAGCATCTCAGAAAGGCCGGAGTCTGACTTCCCCAGCCAGCTATTGTCCTGGCAGCACGGCTGCCACGCCAGCATCCCCACCCAGTCTGCCAGCCCGCGAGCCCGCGACTCCCCAGCCTCACCAGCCCCCACCCCGCCCCGCCCCGCCCCGCCCCAGGGAGGACCCGGCTGGCGGCTGGGAGTCTCCCTGCCTGCTCAGCCTCCCTCCTTCCCTCCTTCTCCCTCCCTGCCTGCCTTCCTCCCCCGCCCGCCCCTGAGGCAGGGACCGTGCAAATCGAGGAGAGGGGGGGACAGACAGGCCGGATGGGGTCCAGCTTAAAGCCCTGGGCTCCCCACTGATACCCCGTCCAGGCTGGGGGTCCCCAACATCTTGGGACCTGGATTTGTGTGAGCTGGGGTGGTTCCCAGGCCAGGAGCGTGCCTCCGGCAGGCCCACGGTACCCCCGTTTTGCATCAGGACCCCCCCCCCTCGGATGCTCTGAGCCACCCTCCTCAACCCGGATCTAAAACCCGGGACACAGCTATCAGGCCAGCCTCTCTCTCCACCCCACCCCCTCTTTCTGGCGTCCATCCCCTCCCCAACACCACCTCTGCTGCTGCCTCTGGCTGTGGACCTGCACCTCTTCCCCATCCCCTCCAGGCCTGGGGAGCGGGGTGAGCCTGGATGAGAGCCCCCCAACCTGGGGCTCTCCCAGGCCATGGCCAGAGTGCTCCCAGAGAGGAGCCCTGGCCCCTGAGCATCTGCTAGAGGCTTGGCAGAGGCCCCGCGGGGACCGTGTCTTCTGAGGACAAAAGGCGGCGGCCAGCAGGCAGACGGGGCGGGGGGAGGGGGGACCGGCAGCCAGGCGGGCAGACGGATAGCAGGGGCCAGAGCTGGCCCCCCTCCCAGCTTGGCGGTGGCATGAAGATGGGGGTGGGAGTGTGTAGTGGGAAAAGCACCTGCCTGGACCCTCACCTGCCACCTAGCTGGGCACCCCAAGGCTGTGTGCTGCCCACTTGGTGTTCCCCAACGCCCCCAGCCCTGCCCGGTGCACCCCTCCGGTCCTTGCTTCCCCTGATGTCTGCGTTTTAGACCAGCCCGACTGCTGTATCCACGGCAACAGAAGCAGGAGTGTCACTGGCCGCCAGATCACTGAGGGTCCCACAATGTGGCCTGGGCTGTGATTTATCCTGGGTGAAACAGCTTGAGCCCCCTCCCCGGATTCCAAGACAGCCCTGCTAAGAGAGCCCAGGTAAGTAGTCAGCATCCCTCCACCCAGGTTGGGGGGGGGCTGAGATTTCTCTTCTGTCTCCCCACACATATTTCAGAGTCTCCATCACTGCCATGCTCTGTCTCTCTGACTCGGTTAGTGTGTCCCCAACCCCCCATCCCCACTCCATCACAAGGACTACTTGGGCACCCAAGCCTGGAGAGCCCTCTAGCCATCTCCATCTTCCTCAATCCCAAATGTCCCATGAAAAAGGGAACTACCACCTGTTTCCCCCCTCCCCACACAGGATCTGTTTTTATCATTATGGTCGCATTGGGGCATGAGGCTGTGTTAATATTCCCTTGTGTGCTAGCAATGGAAGGCATGCCTGGGAGCCTGGCAGTGCTCTCGTGCCTGCACCCTGGGCAGGCTCAGCCTCCTGCAGCTGGCTTCTCCCCCTCTCCCTCCTCCTCCACTCTCCTCCAGGTTCCTTGGCCTGCATGCAGGGTATGTGTGTCTCTGTCTGTGTGTGAGAGCAGGCAGGTGGGTAGACATGATGGAGAAGCCGATCCCAGCGCAGACCACCCCCCACTCTTTCTTTCCTTCTTCCCTCCCTCTCTGCTTCCCTTCCATTCTACTTTCCCCTGTCTCTCCCCACAGGTAGCACAGACTTTTGCTCGCTCCCCACTGAAGATATTGCTGTGATTCCCGGGGGGAGGAAGCCGCTGTAGGGAAAGTGGGGTGGGGGTGGCAAGCATTTCCAGGCTCCGGGCTGCTTGATGGCTCTGTGGGGGCCAGGTCCATGCCACATAACCTGCAGGGGCCACAGTGTGGGCTCCAGCCTCCATCCAAGGCTCTCTATCTCTGTTTCACATGCCCATGTTGTGACTGGGACCCTCAGATTTTACGGCCTTGTGCACAGTGGCCAGTGATCCCTATGTCTGGAAGGGCAGGAAAGTCTGATACATGGAGAACGTGGATTCTCCTGGGACGCTTCCCCCAACTACTAGCTCTGCGACTTGGGTGAGAGTGTGCCACTTATTGAACCTCAGTTTTCCCATCTGTCGAAGAGACCGGTAACCCTTCCATCATGGGCGTGTGTGGTGACTCAATGAGTTGGTGCATGCAAATAAAGTATGTGCATAGTAGTGGCCCTGAAACGGTATCAGCAAAGCTCATGGTCAATATTGCTGATTATTCATGATTAATATTGTTATTGATTATTTGGAGGAGGGACTGGCCCCTCTTCTCCAGGGTAGGCAAATGGAGGTTGGGGAGTGGAGGGGAGGCAGGAGCAGCTTAACGTTGTCACTCTTCCTTTGTAGGGAGTGATAAGTGGTGGCTATGGGCAGAGCCTCCCACCCCCACTCCACTCCAGTCTCCTTTCCCTGTACTTGCCCCTGTGCACGCGCGTGTGTGTGCATGCACACACACACACACACACACAGAGGCTTGAGCTCCCTTGAGCTAGCAGAGGCCTGGCTTGCAGTGTGCAGCATTCCTGGCCCTGGTGATGTAGGCGTCTCCCTGTTGAGGGGAGACTTGGCAAGAGTTGGGCCTGTGGTCAGTGGTTGGCAGTGCCTGGAGACAAGGCTGAAGCTTCTGAGATCGCAGGGCTTCGGGTAGAGCTGGGGTGTGGCCCATGCAGCAGTCAGACCCATGGGGGGATGGGTCCCAGGGATTTGCTAACCTAGAGCCTGGACTTGGGGGGACAGTGGGGTCTGCTGGCTGGTTTCTGGGTGTGGAGATGTGGTGGAACACTGAGTGAGGGGTGGGTGGCTGGAGGAGGGTCCTTAAGGCCAGTGTAGGAGGAGGAGGAGGGGAGAGTCTGAGACCCAGAAGACCCCATGGTGAGGGTTGGAAGGGGTGGGGCTTTGAGGTATAGAGTAGACTTTTCTGAAGAAGCATTTGGTGTGGAAGGGAGAGGACCCAGGCTGTGGTTTGGAGGCATCTGGGCCTGAGAGTGGGTATATATGTGTAATTGTGAACGTGTGCAGTCTGTGAGCATATGTGTTTGTCCATGGGAATTGTGGATGTATATGAGTCTGTGTGTGAACCAGACCACACGATGGTGTGTGCAAGTGTGTGAGTGTCTGGATAGGCTTGTGTGTGTACAGGGGAGTGGGTATGACTTTGCATGTCTGTCTGGGTGAGCAAATGGGCATGTTTGATTCTGAGGCTGAGTAAGATTGTGTTTCTGTGAGCCAACAGGCCTGTTGAATGTCTAGTTGTATATGTGTGTGGTATCAGTTTGTCTCTGAGTGTCCATGTCTGGTTGTATGCATATGAGTATGAGGGTTTCGGAATGCCTGGGTATGCACATGCCCAATTAGATGAACATCTAGCTGTATCTGTGTACATTTGTGTGTGCCTATGTGTGCACAGGAGTATAGGTATATCTAAATGGTGTGTTTGTGAGTGTGAGGGCATGCGTGTGTGTGTCCATGCATGTATGGGAGGGTCTGTGTGTGTCAGTATGCTTCTGTGTGGGCATGTCTGGCATGTATGTGTATGAGTAGGTCTGTGTGTTGATGTCCATGTGGATTCTGCAGCATTTTCAATTGTGTGTATGTGTGTGTGTGTGTGTGTGTGTGTGAGTATATAGGTCTGTAGACAGACCTATGGGTTCACATCTGGTTAGGGAAGTGTTAGTGTAGATGATCACCCTCATATAAAGAGAACTAACTGTGTGGGTTGGGGGGAGTGTGTGAATACACCTTTTGTGCATGAAGACATATTTTGTGGGTATGCCATTGTGTACACATTTGATTCTGTATATGGGTATGGCTGTGGGGGGGGTCTATGCCTGTGTATATATGCACAAAAGGCTATGTGCATAGGTGAAAGAATGCATTTGGGTACATGTCTGATTGTGTTTGTGGGTACACTCTTATGTGTGAGTGCAAGTCTGGTTGTGGTATGCATGAGTAACTAGATTTCTTAATACCTGGTGCACATACCTCAATATGTGTTTTGTCTGAATTTCTGAGTACAAGTGTGAATGTGTGAGTGTGGATAAGCCTGTGAGTGATCATGAGTGTACATATGTGTGTATATGCTAGTATGTGTGAACATCTGGCTGTGTGTGCATTTGAGTGAACATGTCTATATTTGCCCATGTGTTCATATACATCTAAGTGTGTGTGTGTGTGTGTGTGTGAATATGCTTGTGTGTGCCTGTCTGAATGTACAGGTGTGTGAATGTACCAGTCTGTGTAGTTCTAATTATTTGTATATGTGTGTTTGTATTTATTCTGGAACATATATCATAGAACAGTATAAGTGGATGTATTTGCATGCCATACATATGTTTGTGTGTGTATGTCTTTGCATGTGTATGTGCTAAGTGTTATCAATTCTTGTGCAGATGTATAAGTATGTGACTCTTCTTCCATGTGTGCATGTGTGTGAACATAGCTTTGTGTCCAAATCTATCTGAGAATTTAAATATAAATGAATCTTCATTTGTTTGCATAGCTTCTCATATGGGTGTATGAATATGTGTTGAACACACATGGTGTGCATTCTTATTATGATTGTGTGAGTGTGTTTTGTAAGTACATTTGTGTCTCCATGTCTGGTTGTGTGCATATAGGAATGAATGATACACATGTCTGTGTGCATGTGAATGTGATCATAGGCATACACTCCCAGTTGTATGTATGTATCTATGTGTATTACAATGTCTGTATATGAATACATCATCTCATTGACAAGCAGGTCAATGGGTGTTTATGTACATGCGTACACCCACACGTGAGTGTGTGTGAAAATGCTTATGTGGTCACATCTGGGTATGTGTGTGTATACATTTGGGAGCTCACCTCTGTGTGTCCTGTTTGTTCATTGTCTCATGGGGTGTGATGTTGAGTCTGCCTGTCCGTGGACATGTGGAAGTATGCCTGTATGTGTACCTGTGTTTGTGAGTGAATGTGTGTCGTTCGTGGGCATCATGTCATGTAAATATGTGCGATGCATGTACGCCTATGTTTGAGAGTAAATGGATGTGCAGGCGTGGGACCAAGTGCAGTGTGAGTGTGCATTGCTGTGAGTGTGCCTATGCGTAGGGGTAAGTGTAGGTATTTGTGCATGTGCTGGTCTGATGGTCTGTATTTGAGAAAGAGAGAAAGATTTGGCCTTGGGCCTATGCAGATAGGTCTAATCCCTGAGGGAGTGATAAAGAAGGGAACTTACGAGTCTGTGTGATGCTGTGTGTACACCCCAGCATGTATTGATGTGCATGTCTAAGACTCAGTGGCACCCTGCTAGGCCATAGCCGGCTCTGTGTAGACATCCTACAGGATGGCAAGCTATAACACCTGAGCAATCCATGACCCTCTTCTGGGGCCTCCCTGGCCTCAACCATGTGCTGGGCTTTTGCGGGGCGGTGGAGGGGGGGGTGTCTCAGGATAATTCTTGTCATCACTCCCTCTCAAGAAGTAGGAACCAATCATGGCTGATGTCTTCCTAGGGAAGGGGGCCTGTGACCTTTTAGAAACGGATTTCTTGAAACCCAAAGACCTCGTTTCCCATCCCCCCACCCTTGAAGGCCCAGGACAAAATGGCATTGTATGTGTCTAAGGTTGGCTAATGGTTTTCACGGAGAGCACCCAAACTATGCCATCCAGGCAGAAATCTAGATGTCAATGTATATGTATAAGTAAAGCTGTATCTGGGTAGAGTATGGTGTGTGTGTGTGTGTGTGTGTGTGTGTGTGTGTGTGTGTGTGTGGAGAAGGTGGTATATTTGGGTAAGAGAATGAGGGGGGAGAGAGAGAGAGAGGGAAGGGATCTGGGTTGTGTGTACGTAAGAGAAAGTCTGGGTAAGATATGTATGTGAGACATTTGGCTGTTTTTGGGAAAGGTGAGTGTGAGTGTGGGTGCATGTAAATGGTGCATTTGTGAGGTGCTATGAGAACATCAGCCTATTTAGGTGGAGGATAGTATGAGAGTTTGGGTATGGCTGGGTGGGAATGTGTGAAGCTATGTGTAGCTTCACATATGTGGGTATGGGTGTATCTGGATGGTGCAAGAGAGTGGGGG